ACTGGACCTAATACTGTAGAGGTCTGAGTCGCCTTTATCAAGAGCGGAACACTTACTGAGCGAAAATGGTTAAATTATGTAGCTAAATTAACTTCATCTCCCGCGAGCCTTAACACAAGAGTGTGTAGTGCAGACCGTGCTGGTGTAGCGACAAAACGTGTGACCCGTCAGTAAGTGACATTAGAGGTTGACCAGTCAAATGCCTGACAGGAAGGGGAGAGGTCAACTCCGGGGCCAGATTTGTTTTTTTTCTTTCTCTCCATTTATTTATTTTGCATAATACAAACCAACAATTCTAGCTCCTTTGAACAAAAATATAGTCCAGGACTAAGTTTAAAAAAACAAAAACAAATAAGGCGCAAGTAACAAGTGCTATTTTAGACTTCACAAACAGCAAGAAGATATGTAAAGAACAAACAAATGATCAAAACATTAATGGAAAGAAAAAAAAATCCATTTTAACCTCTGACAAAGTGTATGAAGTAATATAGCCCTCTTGGAATTAATTCAGAATCAGAAATACTTTATTGATCCCCGAGGGGAAATTCTTTTGTCACAATTGCACACTTGTCAAAGGTAATTAGATAAAGAGTATATAAATATAGTATAAATAAAAATATAAAGACAATATAAAGGTGTGTGGGTTTGTACAATATTTACATTATTAAGAATTATTATGGTGAACCAAAAAGGACTAGTGAATAAATGGCAGCAGAGAATATTGCACATTAATTATTAAACAGGTAATATTGGACAGAAAATAGATAATGAGGTCTACTTTAATACTGTGTCAGACACTTAAAGGGAGGCGTTATAAAGTTTCTTATAAAGTTTATTAAATTCTTCATTGATCCATCTAAGTAGAGAGGCCGCTCTTTCAGAAAAACAGTGAAATATGGGGTGTTTAAGAATTTACATTTGTGTAAAAAATATTTTGCTAGAATTATCAGGTTGTTGTATAAAAATTCCAGTTTTCTCTCCTCCATTATAAGACCCAATCTAACATTACTATAAGTCAAGGCTGGTATGGTCAGATTACTATGTAATAGCCAATCTTGGAAATCCCAAAATAATTTAGAAATATTACAAGAGTAAAATTGTTTCTACTTCTGTATTGCAGAATACGCATTCATTAGAGTCAATGTTAAATCTTAGTCGTGAAATTTCTTTGCAGGGATATATATCACTCTTTGTTTTAAAAAGTACTTCTTTAGCTTTAGGTGGTGCAGGGAAACTGAGGTATTCACATCTAATTCTCTTAGAGGTCACAGAGGTGTATTTCTGAAATATATATTTTCTTTTAAGAGGCGATGGAAACATTTCTTGGTTAGAGAAGATCTTAAAAACTTATGACATTTCTCATCCAAAAAAGAGCATGCTTCAATAGACAATGTGGAAAGTTGAGGTACTATTGGTGTGTATAATAAGGCACCCCTAACCATTTGAATAAGAGCACAATATTCTCTACTAGTACATATTACACTGTATTCATTCCTAAACTCATCATAGTCCAGTATGTTACCTCTGTGATCCATTAGATCCAGTTTTAAAAAAAGAAAGACTTTTTCTGTAGTGGAAAATTAAATTGAGAGAAGCACCTGGTTCCAATTAGCGTGTCAGATGAGCCACACCATGCAGTGGAAATGAGGCTAAACACCCCAAATACTCACTAGACGACTACATGTGTATTAAAAAAGCACTGTTTCCACTTGTTTGCGTAACATTTTTTAAAAATTACAGTGTAAATTAAACTATATATTTGTGACCTGTTTTTAAAGATTGAAATCTTCAGTAGGAACTAGTGGTCCTGAGACCTGAGAGCCACAGTCACAGTAGATAGCAAATATAGAATAACATCATCCTTATCCTTTAATGCTAAAAACACAAGTTTATAGTTTCAGTGACATGCGTTTATATCTTTAGAGCTCAACATACAGTTTGTTAAATCAGTCCCCTTTAACTTGTCTTCTTCTCAGGCATATCTGCCCCTGCAGTCTATTTTGTGGACTACACATCCCACTGTATTTTCTTGGAGGACATCGTGGGTTCCTCGACTGTGCGTGACCACATCGCATCTACTCAGCAGTCTGGTTCCTGTAAGGAGCTGGAGCGGCTGGCTGAGAAGGTGGGCCAGATCCTGGCCAAAATGCACGATGAGGACGTCATCCACGGGGACCTGACCACCTCCAACATGTTGCTGAAATGGGGCCGGGAGGACGGGGAGCCAGACCTGGTCCTCATCGACTTCGGACTGAGTTACATCTCTGCTCTGCCAGAGGATAAGGGAGTGGACTTGTACGTGCTGGAGAAGGCTTTCCTCAGTACCCACCCCAACACAGAGGTGCTGTTTGAGAAGCTGCTGAAGAGCTACACAGCATCATCCAGGAAGTCGGCAGCCGTCATTAAAAAGCTTGACGAGGTTCGGTTGAGAGGGAGGAAGAGGTCGATGGTGGGATGATCCTTGCCGTGTACAGGGACAAGCCTATCAGGGACATGATGTTCCTAAAAAACAAGTTAGAATTACAAAGCTGTCAGTGTGCAGAAAGACTGTTGTATGTAAGTATGATCAAATAAAAAAGTGTAAGAAAAAGGAAGGAAGTTTTCTCTTATGGAAGGCAGAAATAAAAACAGAAGGACTTGGGCAGAATGACGTTGGCACAGTTTAAGCATTGTGTTTGCAAAATGCCACATGCAACGACAGACTGCATGCTGATTAGTGGGACGCAAAAAAAATATATAAAAATGGTAAACAGAAATCAACTATATTCAATGGAGCAGTGCTGAGGATGTGGTTGAGTTTAAGAGTCTGATAAGCTGCTCTGCAGTCTGGTGGTGCTGCAGCGGAAACCTCTATATCACTTCCCAGAATGCAGCAGGGTGATGAGGCTGTGGTGGGGTACGTGTTCTAACCTCAGTTGTTTTAGACATTTTGTGACCAGAAAATCACCAAATCAGTCCTTATGTTCCCTTTTTCCCTCATACTGTATAAATGATATGCAGCTCTATGCATTTGAGTTGCTCTGGGATTTAGCACAGATCTATGGAACAAAGAGGTTCTCTTGGACAGATGGGAGTTCACTGACTGTCAAATATATTAAGATATTCTCTTAATCACAGTAAATGGTGCAGTCATCTAAAAACAAGATTAGATGCATAACCTTGGAGTAAAGTATCTGTGTTTACTATAAATTGTAGTTGGAATATTGCACTTAAAATGTATTGAAACTCTTTACTTTAGCCCATGTACATTGGCAGTGGTTGAGGGGTTTAATATTGCATTGAAACCAGACTGTGGAAGACAGCTTACACCATCCCCGGGTTCTACACTGAATCAAGCAGAAAATGGGTGCATCACTTTGAAGCATGTCAGATGTCTGGTCACTCCTCCATTGGAGTTGTCTGGCAAAAAAGCACAATGCTTTTACCGATGGGAAATAACTGCACTGACATTTCAGGTATGCCAGAGACATTGAGCTGCATGTGTGAAAGGAATATTTTGACATTTTGGGAAATGCACTTACTCACTTTCTTGCAGATCACCGTGACGTTGCTAGGTAACGAGTGGTGACTTCAGGAAGTTACTGCACACAGCCAAGAAATAGCTCAAAACCCACCACAAAAAAAGTTTTTTCTGAACATCATATGAGGCTTCAGTAGTCTTGACTTAAACAAATCAAGTGGTTATCTTCAAAAGTTACAAACATTTTAGATATAAATTCCCTCTGTATTTCCCTGCATGCAACCAACAAAAACTATTTCAATGTAGCATGTGAACCTGGCCATTTCCTAAGTCATGATGTTTTGGGTATTTTAAAAAAATTCTTCTACTTTCCAGGCAGCCACTGGTTTCTATTTATTGCAGTATTGTAGAAAAGTCAATACGTCTTGCCCCTCACAGAGAACATCATCTTTTGTTTTTGTTGAGTTGTGTTACCATTGCATGGTAATACGTACACTGCAGACTCTGTTTGGACTTACCTACATTTCTAAACCACAGATGGTTAAGATGCATACCAGAAACTGTTACTGGTAATAAAGGCTAAAAATGGCTAAAAATAATGAGACTGTAAATAAAGATGGACGACATAATGGCTCTCCAAAACTGAATCCAAAACATCTCGGTCCCCCATGGTTGGCTGCAGTATAAATCATGAACTCTGCCCCCTCCATGTTAGTGGACAGGACATGGGCCGAACTACAAAATCCACTCAAATACATTTGTCCCAATTCCCAAAGATGGTTTCTGTCCTTTTAGCTATCTATGGGGTTAGAACAGTCTATAGGAGTATTCACAAACAAATGTATAAAAATACAAAAAAATACATAAACACAAAATGATTTAGATCTGTAACCCTGTATCTGTAAATCTGTGTGCGTGCCTCTAATTTACAACTCCTTTATCATCATTTGTACATCAACTTAAAATTTTCTATGGAAATATATCTCCACCTATTTGTGTGAATCCATTTCAGACTGTTCTTCCGCACCATTTGTCACTAAAAAATCACAAGTGCAGGGAAGACCAAGGCTTTTCAGTAGATGGCGGCAATGCAACATTTATGGACGCTAACGAAACACAAAGCTGAAATGGCTGCCAAAAAGGCACTGAGGAGTTGCCAGTATTAAACAACTGTGATACATGTAGATGATTCATCGTGGTGACAATAGTGTATTATATTATTGACTCAATGTGCTACTGGGAGTCCCATTAGATAGTGATCTTTCAGCACGTTTGTCTGCAGAGTGGCATGCAGGAGGTGGCAGCCACAGGTTTAAAGTCCAGGCGGAGGTGCAACAAGTCATGAGTAGCTAGGGAAATGTTTAACAACCAAGCCCAACTCTACAAGTTCAGTTACACAACCTCCACGTGAGTCCAGGGAAACTAAAATGTGGGAACCGCCTGGCCGAGACAGGTGCGCCAGTGTTTGCTTTCACTTCATCATGTACTGATGACCTGACATCTGAGTCCAAATGGAGCACCTACAGAATCTGAAAATTATGATTAAAGTCATGGTTATTGTTTTGCACTGTAGAGGTAAGTGTCAAGCATTGTTTTTTTCTTGTTTCAGCATCAAATTGTAAAGAAAGCTTGGTGTTTGTCTTTTGCAAACTTCACTGATCGTGATCCCTTCCATATGTTTCCAGATTCCTCAGCTGACATGACAAGGAAGCTCAGTGTGTTGGTGGGCACAGACGTGACTCTCAGCTGCCTGTTTGATAAACTGTCCAAGCTTGCAGAGTGGAGCACTCTCACGATTGAGTGGAACATGCTGGATAGGCATGCAGAGAAGAGCATCGTATACACTTTCGAGGATGGTAAAGCGCACGGGAACAGAGATGGCTCTGTGGTGGATACAATGCGGTTGCTAGAAAGCGATGCATCCCTGCAACTTCGTAATGTGACTGTGGGAGATGAAGGGTTGTACACTTGCAGAATCATCACACCTGTGGTCTACATAGAGACCACTTCACTGGAAGTGCTGGGTATTTCTCCGTTTCTACTCTAATCTGTGTCACATATCTGGATTTAGAAACTACTCAACATGAACTGATCACTGTCAGAGATGTAGAAAGATCTGTTCCCTAACCAGCATAAAAAATACAATAAAGTTACAGGAAATATAGGAAATGAAATTTTATGGAAATCTGAGAGGTCAAACAAACATGTTTTATTTTGCATCTGTCTACTGAAGGTTCACAATTTTATCTTTAATAACACACTGTTAGACTGTCCATTTTTCATGTCTTAGATGATTTTTTCCATTTGCAGTGATTTTTGTGTTGCATGTCAAATTTTTGGTAGAGAAGTACAAGTGTGCCACCAGAATACTCTTTACTGTTGAATTATAACTTAATGTTTGATGATAATTCATACCGGTTATGTGTTGCAGAGCTCCAGTTGTTGTTGTGCTGTTCGGGGGTTTTTAAACTAAATTTAATTTTAAGGCTGCACTGCTTACATGTCCATAAATTAAAGGAACAGCATTTTGGGGAAATATGCTTATATGCCTTCTAGCTAAGAGTTACATGAGGTAAATATGAAGCTACAGTTATCAGCGGGTTAGCGCCGTCTAAAGGTAACAAAATCCACCTTCCACAGCTTTCAAAGTTTCGCCTTGTTTCCAGTCTTTATGCTAAGCTAAGCTAACCAGCTGCTGGCTGTAGTGTAATTCAAAAGTCAAATAAGCACATTTTCCAAAATGTTTAAGCAGCAAGCTTTAATCAGAATACTGACATATTATCACGGTATAAACTTTTGGCTAATGTATTAGCAAACTGTTGCTTATTTTAAACAGGAAGTTGTGTTTCTGTCCACCTTATGAATGCAAACCCAATATTCACATTACACCAACTCCTGAAGTATGTGGAAGTATCTGGCTCTTGAGCTGATATTATGGCCACCAAAGTTAGCCAGTCACTGCTGTGACATCCTTGATTCAGCTGTGGCCGAAAAAGCAACAATCAAAAGCAAAGTTGTCAGCAGCAGTTTTTATATGGTGCATGAATGCATGTTGTTGAATTCAGGAAGTAACACCCAACCAAAAAAACCCAAACTACAAATGTACTGTTTTTGATCTCTCCCCCAGCTCGGCCTTCACTGTTGCTTCCTGAAAAGGCAGCAGTGACAGAGGGGGAGGAGAAGACGATACAGTGTGATATCACAGGTTTCTATCCAGAGAAGCTGGCCGTAACATGGCACATCCAAAATGGCTCCCACACTGTCCCCGCAGGTGCAAGCCACCTCTTCCGCGTCTGCACCGAAATGGCCATTCACAATCCAGATGACACCTACAGCATTCGCAGTGGCATCACAGTGCACTCCTCAGCAGTGAGGGATGGAGAGATGTGCATCATCTGCCAGGTGGAGCACCAGACCTACACCCAGCCATACAACAGATCTGTTAAACTGACTGTTCAAGGTGGGATTTCATTTTTATTTTTCATTCTTTAAACTCTGAGTTTAAATCATTACCTATACTGAATTATATACTGCATATACTAGATGTTATATGGATCTCTCTGATCCCTTTCCCCTGCAGCTCCAGCACAGCCCCTTTACAGTGCTGTCACACTGATATCCGTCACCAGTGTCATCAGTTTGCTGCTGGTCACCCTTGTTATTGGCAGCACTTTGCTTCTCTACAGGTATTTCTTTGAAGGTACGTCTCACAAAAGTTGTCTATGGAAAGATCTGAAACTGAAACCATTACAATGCAACAATTTCATCTACATTATTTATTCATATATATTTAACAGTTATTATTACTGATAGTTAGTTTAACAGTAGTAGTACCTATAGTTGTAGCAGAGGTATAATGTTGCTAAGTATATTTACATCTTGTCTTATAAGTCTTATTGCTGACCTCCAGTAGTTCAGCTTGCTGATGTGATGTAGAGGTGTACTGCAGGACCCCATCACATCACTGGTGGGTGTGGTTATGGGTGCAACAAAGCACACTTCTGTCCACTTGCCCAGCCAGCATCGCTGCTGGGTCTGGCTGGGTGTAGGTGATTCAGAGGTGAGTAGCGTGTTTGGCCCTCCTATGCTCCTGA